GTACTCCTATAACATTTCCAAGTTTCCTAGCCCCAAGATTTCTATTAGAAACGTGTATATATTACATGTCTTGAGAGGACACAAAGTGCCTTATTCTCACTTACACCAACCTGGCAGTGTAAAGGGACCATAAGATGGATGTGTAACATAAATGAGAAGCAGGCTCAAATTGCATACCTTATCAAAAGACTCAGAACAAACTTGGTATAATTATTTGTCTGAATTTGGTCCAATGACTTTTGATTTAGTCCTTTAAATATATAGCTTAGTGGAAGCCTAATTAAGATAGTAAATTCTCTCTAATGCATGGCAAAAATATTTACAGATTTTCAATAATTACTTTGCCTTCTAAATCCAGAAATTTCTTGTCTATATTATTCAGCAGCAATCCCAGTAAGAGATTAAACCACACTGAAAACTCAATCCAACACTCAGTGAAATTAGTTGAGAGACTCCCATTGATTTCAATAGGCTTTGGATCAGTGTAGTTCACTTTGTATGTGTTTAAGAGGTGAGGTCATCAATTCTCAGATGAGATTCTAAAAATCTCTCCCTTTTGGAAGAAACTGCTTACGATGATCTTACAAATTATGTCAACTGCAATAATAAGGGCTGGCTCTGCTTCAAAAGACACACTTCTTTCTTCCCAAGTTTTCCATAGCTTTTGCCAAACAATCTATCCCACATGAATAGAGGCAAAGTTCTCCAAGGAACTTCTCTGCTTGTCTCTTGGAGATTCCTTAGGGCCAGCACAGTCAGTAGTAAATTGACAATGGAGGGAAAGAGAGTCAGTTTATGTATCTATTTGGTCTCCTTAGAAACATTTTGGGAAACACAGTTTCCATTCAGGCTCCTACCTACATTTCAGCCTAAGAATTATGGGAATCCAGCATGGGGGTGGGAGAGAAAGAAGTTTTCAAGTCTTTGTGAATTGTCTAGCAATCACTACAATCCCTATGCTTTCATTCCCCCAATCAATTATCTCTCCCTTCCCCGTCTTTACTGAATATTAACCCCCTTGCACCTTGAGCTGACTTACTCTTCTTTGAGCAACAGCTTCACAACACATTCTAGCATGCCTGTAAACAGAGGAAAGCCCTCCCTTCTGTCCCTGAAGCCTGAATTTATTAGTTAGGATTAATTAGCTAGTGTTTGCACAATATTTAGCACATGTGAACAGCCATGTCCTTAAGTGCTAAATATTCTGTTATAATTATTTATTAAGAGTCTCCCTGAATACTCTTGGAAAAGGCATATAGTCTGTCTTACTGTAACCCTAAAGGGAATGTTATTTCACTGCATCAATAAAGTTTGCACCCTTCAGCCCAAAAAGTGAGGGGTCCTAACAATGCAGCACAGAGAAGGTAGGACAGGCTATTTGCACCTTGTCCCACCCATCCACACAAAAGACAGGTAAAATAGCAGTGCCTGCTATTGAGGAAGTGCACAGGCTGCTCCTTCTTAATGTCTCAGGGGTGCAGATTACCCTAAAGGGAAAGGAAATGCAATGGAACTGTGTCTCAACCCGGCTTTCACTGGCCCACAGAGTTGGCTGGGTGTGAACTGGGGAACAGAGTACATCATTTTCACTGCCTTCCTGGGCACTCCTGGCTTACACCAAGAAGTGGGAGATGGCTTTGAAGTACAGTCCCTCTTGAAACTCTCCATAACTCTGCACCAGCACCCCACTTCAGTGCAATGACCACAGGATAGCTCATAAAAATTAATAGTTTGCAAAGTTCTACTTTTTAACGTCAACAAAACTCAATTTTTAAATCAGGATAAAAACCCTAAACAGATGCAGGCCACAGTCCTCCAAACCGCTCTCCATAGGTGACCAGTGCGATAGGGCTCTGCTTGAGTGTAAGAGTCTGTCATCATGGCGCAGTTTGCAAGGTTGGGGCCATGGTCCTGATTTATAATAATATTTCAATACAATTTTGATAAATATCTGTGATTACTACTGATTAGCTTCTGACACTTTGTAACTGTGCAAAGAAATAATCTATGCTAAACCATTCTGGGCCGGATCCTCAGCTGGTGTAACTCAGCATCATTCTTAGAGCTCTAAGAGCTCTGCTGATTTATATTTGCTGAGGATCTGGCACATAATCCATTATTATCCCCTCCTGACAACTATCTCGTCTTCTATACTGAAAGTTCTTTTGGGCAGTGACTGAGATTTATTAAATATTTGAAAACTGGTTTAATGGGACCCTGACCATAATGTAAATAAGGAACTATGTATAGGACCAGATCCTTAGCCAGTGTAAATGACTCCACGGACTCAAATGAATCTGTTCCAATTAAAGTTGCATAAGGATCTGGCCCATAAAAGAATTTGAAAGTGTTGGTTGGAAACTGGAATTTCTGTTCCAAAGGAAATGCTGATATTTCAGAATTTGTTTTTGTTCCAGATTGGATGAAAATCCAAAGTTTTGACATTTCCCATGAAACTAAAATTCTGAAGAAATGTCAGTACTGAACTATGAATACACTTTGTTTTGGTTATTTTAGCTCATTTCATTTAGACAATGTTGAAACATTGTAATATAAGATAGATCAAATATACTATTAAATATAATATTCACATTCATATTTCAACATTATATAATAGTGGAAACAAAATTAATCAATATGATCAAATCAAAACCTGCTTTTGACTCTTACCTATCTAAAATTTAATTGATATCAACCTGTTCCTGTGAAACATTTTGATTTTGATGAAACTGCATTTTCCAAAGGAAAACTTTTCCACCGAAAATATTTCTACTTGCTCTAGTATTTGATTTTCCATTTACTTTTCAGAAAACAAAAAGTGAAGATATAGGACACTTAAAGACATTGGAATTTATGCTATTTTTCTATCTAAGTTTCAACTACTTAGTCTTTTCATATTCTGTAAAGATTAGTGTAAAGGGTATCTGATGAACATACTATCAAGTATGCATTTATTTAGCAATTAATTGCAGGGCAGTTGTCGGTTGATAGCGTGAGGAGAGGGTGTGTCTGACCTGCTTATATAACAGCATCACCACCATCTCTAGTTAAAGGATTGGGGTTGTAATAGGTCAGCTGTGAAATATTATTTACACACACAGAAATAAAAGGGTTAGTTATTAAAAGGTTATATTTAGCCACAGCTTATGCATAACTGTGCAGGCATTTTACTTTGATATATGGTATGTATTGAATTAGTGTAATTAATTTAGTCCCTGTAATTACAAAGGATCTGGTATTTGAGAACTACGGGAGTATGGCTTTACCAGCTCCAGATACACTACATTGATTCTGAATTTGATTTTATTTATGATAAAGTTACAGCACTAATTTATTCCCTTTGAGAGGCAAAGATAATCTTAATCAGCAGCTGGTTATCAAACTAAGGAAGTTTCTCCTTTGTAGTCAGGAAACATAGTGCTATATTGGTACTCTTTGCTTACCGTGATTGATAGCCTTTCAGTATATCTTAACCAAAGATGTGGCCTTGTCCTCATACTGTCTGTCTGTCAAATACATGTCTGATGGAACTTGGAACACAGGGCACAGATCCTGATCTCATTTGTACTTGTGTACAACTGGAGTAACTGTACTGACTTCACTGGGGTTACTCTTCGTACATACCAAAGATCAAGTCTGAAATCAAAATCTGGCTATGTAGTCCAGCAGCCACTCTGGTCAACCTTGCTTTAGGGTTGAAACAAGGTTGTCAGGGTGATGGTATATGTGTGTGTGTGTGTGTGTGTGTGTTGTTGATTCTGTATCTCAAGATCAAACATTTAAAATCTGCTTGATGACACTCTCACTGTTGAACATTCTGAAATACCAACATTTCAACCCTCCCTCATCACCCTCACCCCCATAATCAGTAAGATTGCAAGATTTTTAGCATACCAAAAAAGAAAAAAAATCAAGGCAGAAGAGTTATAATACATGAAATGCATGTATTTAACATTTGCATTATCAGTCAATAACAGTGGTGTGCCATGACATTTTTAATCAGGCATGCAATTCTCTGATATTTATGCCTCATTGGTGTTATTTATATTTACACTGTTTTTCACCAGCTAGCTAAGTAGAAAGAAGTGGGGAAAACATTACTTAAAATATCACAGATAGTATTTGTCAAGAAATTCTACCTATTTATCTAAAACTCTGAGATCTGCAGTAGATATGATGAAAACAGAGATGCAAATGAATACTGTGGGACCCTTTGCAAAATAAATATTGCACTGAATACACAGATGTTTATCTAAATGTTAATGGTTGGAAAGAAGTGCTACTTCAAAGCATATTGAGGTGGATCACATCATAATTCAATTACTTCTAAAACTTTAACTAATGTTATGAAGAGTTCAGGAATCCTGGAAGTATATGAATTGGAATTGGAATGGTAAATCCAAAATGTTTAACCTCTAGTCACAAAGGCCTTGTCTACACTGGCAGTGGAGTGTAGGATATTCCACAGTGAAAAGCAGGGTGCATCCATACTGCAGAGTGTAGCTAGACGAGGCAGTGAAAGGCTGTGGTGGGGGGAGGCAGCAGGGAAAGGCTCCAGCAACACCTTGCTGCTGGTGACTTTCCATGGTGCTTCCCTCTGTCAGCGCCTTTTCCCGTAGCTGGGGATGCTTCTGGCAGCTCCCTACTATTGGAGCCATTTCCTGTAGTGGGGAAAGGCTCTGGCATCTCCCTGTGGAGAGGAAAAGCTTTGGCAGTGGGACACAACATGAACAGTTTCAGATTTGGGTTCAGAATTACTTTATTAAGAAAAAACAATTTACTATATTTTTTTAAATAAAAAAGGTCAACATCAAAATATATATATTTTAAATGATCAAAATACAATATTTCAAAAGAGTTTTTTTATATTCATTTCATGAACATTTTCAAGATTTTGAATTTTTCATTATTTGAAATAGGAAAAAAATTGAAATATTGAATTTTTTCTCAAGACGGTAAAACCGTTTTCCATACAAATTTTATGCTAAGTATTAATTATTATTATTATTATTGACTTCAGTGGGAGTTCAGGGCAGTTGATATTTTACAGCATTCAGCTTTGTTTTGGAAGTGACATATTTCTCCAACTTCCATTTTCTCTCTTTATTTCTGCAGCAGTCTGGATAAATGGATAATTGAGACTGATAGTATGAACCAATACTCCAAATCAGGGAGAAGCACTTTAGATTTGGAAATACTGATTATCTGTATTATGTAAGGCAGGTACATTTCTAGAAAGCAATTTGGCATATCTCTACCTCAAATGCAAAGTTAATCATGTTGCATGTGGATAGTTGGCAATTGATTTGCTTAGAACAGCTCTCAGGTTTTACTCCTCAGGAGTAAACAGGTTTTTTTTTATTTTGTGCTGTTCAGAATGTTTTACAGAACTCTGCCACATTAAGGATGTATGCTGAAGTTGTTTGTTGATTTTCTATTAGCTGTTATTTGAGACTAAAAGCATTTCTCATTATTTTCTTTACCACCCAATTGAAAGAGTCATTTAGCTTCATTGAACTTGTGATGGTCTTTAGTGTTCCTTTGGCAGTGCTTGCACTAAGCATACTTGGTCACAAACCTTCCTTACAATTGTTACTTTGACACAAGAGCATACAAAACAAGTCTCAGTAACTGGCCAATTTCTTTTCTCTATGCCTTAGTTAATAGCATATACCCAAGCATATGTTTGTTGCGTATTTTACATGTTAATTAAGTTCTGACATTGATAATACTTTATAACTCCTATTCACAAAAAAACAAAAACAAAACAACAAAACCACCAACAAAGAATTATTAGGTAACACTTGGGGTTGCACTATTTTTCCATGTTTATGTACAATTTTATTTGTTCCTTCTCTGTTGGTTTCAGAAAGACAATTATGTTATTGGGCCACAGAAGTCAATCAATCTGATTGTCTAATGAGTATTTTAACCCGTGCAGCTCTCTCATTGCCACATAAGTAAGAACTCATTAAAGGCAGACTGCCCAGAAAAAAAAAATCCATTTACTTTCCCAGTAATGTCTCCCACTAACCAGGCAGAGAGGATCATTCAACAGCACACAAACAAACTAACCTTTGTAAAAATTCTCATTAGGATTCACTGAGTTTGTGCCAGCAGATCCCACTGTGATAGCCCAGGACACAGCGTTAAAGCTATAGGACCAAGAAACTGTAGGATATAGTGTTGGTCACTAGGGTTTCCCACCAGTACCATATCTAGAGAGAAATTCTAGCCTATTGGGAGTTCATCTTGTATCTTAATAGATAGTGCAGTTTTCAACATCCTTTGTATTATTCTATAAATCAAAAGTTATAAAACAACAATAGAGAGAATCTGCATTCCAGGAAAAAAATAATAATAAAAGAATGTAATATTCTGAATGCAATTTCCAAAAACAATAAGAAATAAACAAACAAGTCTTCAACAGAGGAGGATATTTCCTGTTTATCCCTATCCCTCCTCTTGCTTATTTCAGCACTGAAAAATCTCATACTTGCATTTATTAGAACTGTTGCAGATGTGCTTCTGGCTTCCTTACTGTGGAAAACCCTCCTAAAGCAAAGAAAACACTGGATTCAGGCTTTTGTAGCATGCAAGCTGGATATATTTTGTAAGTCGTTCAAATCTCTGGGCCAAACCCTGGTTATTTTACCCACATGGGCAGTCCATACTAATGTGAATAGTCCCTTTGATTTCATGGTGGATTCTGACTTCAATGGGACCACTCTTAGGCCTGGTCTACACTACGGGTTTAGGTCGACTTTAGCAGCGTTAAACCGAA